GTGGTGTATGCATCATTTTGCGTGCTGGAAGCTCGCCCTTTTTTTTAGTCCACGGAGCCCACGTCATTTTTGCGTGCACAGAACCAACCTTGTTTTCCTTGTGCACCTCGATTTATGCGTCTTATCCCGCCTCATTTTTCATGCACGAAGCTCACGCTAGTTTTGTGTGCTAGAAGGCTGCCTCGTTTTCTATGAGTCGAGCCCGCCTTATTATTCGTGTCATGATTCGCCATGTTTTGCGCGAGCTGAGTTCAAATCGTTTTGCATGCAGTGAGGCTGCCTAACAACCATGTTTTTGGACAAAAATTCAATTTTTTTATTTTCGCAAAATATTTTTCCTAAGCATTAAGTTAAACTTTTTAAGGAATTTAGAAGTAGATTTACTGTTTATTGAGAAACAAATGTATATTTAATAGAATTTTTGAGTCGGAAACTAAAAAAATAAATGAAAAATATAGTAGTGAGGCTCAGAACATTGTCCAATGGGGTTCTACACTCAAGGATCTCAACGGAAAGTCTCACCTTAATTTTTAAAACTTCACAGGGAGGCAAAGGTGAAAATAAAAAGATTAAATCGTGATTTCTGTATAAATTTGCAAAACTGACTGAAAACCGTGAGTCAACGTTCACGTTTTTTTGTAAAAAAATTCAAAACTGACTGAAAACTGACGGAAAAATATATTTTGAAGAACATGAATATGATAATTTGTTATAGTGGTAAGAAAAATAAAAGAAAAATTAACAAAAATGATTCAAATTCTTGAGGGTGCCAGAAAGTTTTCAAAATATATGTTTTTGTGCGTGGAGCTCGACTCGTTTTCCAAGCACCCGAGAGTTTGCCGTGTTCTTCGTGCGAGAAGCCCGCCTTGTCTTATGTGCCTTGGTTCGACTTGTTCTGCATATGTGGTATCCGCATCGTTTTGCGTGTCAAAAGCCCGCCCATTTTTTAAGTCCATGGAGCCCGTGTCATTTTGGTATGCACGGAGCAAACCTTGTTTTCTGGGTGCACCTCATTTATGCGCCTTATCCCGCCTCATTTTTCGTGCGCGAAGCTCGTGCTCGTTTTGTGTGCCAGAAGCCCGTCCTATTACCTGTAGGTGAGGCTTCAACAAAAAAATAGCAAAATTTTGTTTTGTTAAATAGTCTTTCACCTTCTTTTGGTTGACAAAGAAGGTTCTACTAAAATGTAGTTCATATTTAGATAAAAGAAAAATTAACAAAAAGAAAAAAGGTCCAAATCTCTACAAATTTAGGTTTTAAATTGTTGATAACAAGTGGTTAAATACGAATTATAATAGATTTTGAAGAACATGAATACGATAATTTGTTGTAGTGGTAAGAGAAATAAAAGAATAATAAATAAAAATGATTCAAATTCTTGAGGGTGCCAGAAAGTCTGACACTCTGGGAATTTGAACTATTTTTGTTAATTTTTCTTTTATTTCTCTTACCACTACAACAAAACTATCGTATTCATGTTCTTCAAAATATATTTTTCGTGCGTGGAGCCTGACTTGTTTTCTGAGCACTTGGGAGTTCGCCTTGTTCTGCGTGAGCAGAGCTTGCCTTGTCTTGTGTGCTTGGGTTCGCCTCGTTCTGCATGTGAGATGTTTGCATCGTTTTGCGTGCCATAAGCATGCCACTGTTTTGCGTCCACAGAGCCCACATCGTTTTGGCGTGCACGGAGACATCCTCGTTCTCTATGTGCAAAAGTAATAAAATAAGTGAAAAATAAAGAGATGTTAAAATTTATATTTAGTGTATATTTTTTTTATTAATTAGAAATGTTAAAATCACTTGTAGTTGAGGCTTAAACAAAAAAATAGCAAAATTTTGTTTTGTTAAATAGTCTTTCATCCTCTTTTGATTGACAAAGAAGGTTCTATTAATACGTACATCCCAACTTTACCGGCGGAGACACCCCCTTATTGGAGTGGGTTGTAGTTCACCCTTAGGATTATCTTAACCCCGCCCTTGATTGTAACTTATACATTACATTTTGCAAATATACAAATAATTATTAAACAAGAAAAATTCTTAGAGGAAGGAAAAATTACATGTATAAGGACATTTTTTTAATAATTATTTCGTTTTTTGTTTTAATATTATATAATGATATAGAACAAAAGTATGTGAGAAAATTGGAGAAGGGCGAAGGATATATGGTGAAATAAATGAAAAATAAATGTTAATAGAATGACACGCAAAATGAAATTTTAAAAACCTAAACCCTTTATCATATATTTTTCGTCTATATTAAACATCAACTATAAAAATTAAATGCTAAAAACGAAATGTTTACCAACTAGACCCAAATTAAACCAAGCAATAATAAGCGACGTGGGCTCATATGTGCAATTGATGAGTAGTATCAAACTCGTGTCACACAAGCCCATCACCCAAGAGCCCAACGAGTCAACTTAAAATCCGTTAACAATTTTCAAACAAATTATCAAAACTTATAAACTAATTAGGTGAATTATTTCATGAGACGGTTTGGCCGAGTGGTCTAAGGCGCCAGATTTAGGCTCTGGTCCGAAAGGGCGTGGGTTCAAATCCCACAGCCGTCAAATTAAATTTTTTTAAACCATGGACTTTTAACTAAAGAAAACAATCACCACCCAACTTTTAGCACAAGCTAAATTTGTAGAGATTTGGACCTTTTTTTTTATTTTTTTTTATTTTATATTTTTTTAATTTTTCTTTTATCTAAATCTAAACTATATATTAATAGAACCCTATTTGTCAACCAGAAGAGGGTGAAACACTATTTAACAAAACAAAATTTTGCTAATTTTTTGTCGAAGCCTTACCCTATAGGTGATTTTAAATTCTCTAATTAAAAAAAATATATTAAAAAATATACACTAAATATACATTTTAACATCTCTATATTTTTCACCTATTTCATTAATTACTTTTGGGCTTAAATATTCTACTAAATATACACTTGTTGGTCAATAAATCGCAAATCCGCTTCGAAAAACATTTTAAAGATTTTCTTAATGCTCACGGAAAATATTTTGAGAAAATAAAAAATGTGCATTTTTTTTTACAAAAACGTGGATTAACACTTACTGTTTTTTTGTTGATTTTGCAAATTTGTACATAAATCACTGTACTCATGCTAGATTCAAGCTTGGAAATTGGTTGTGACATCTTTGAGAGCCATTCTTGTGGCGTGGGTCGGTATGTGCAAGAAGAGATATTGTGCGGTTCCTAAACCTATATTTGTTAATGTTTTGCTTTAACATCGCGATTTAGTGGATATGATGTATCAAAATGAAAAACATACTTAGTCCAAATTTGGAGTTTAGTATTCATTTCTTCAAGAGTTATTATTGTCCTTCTGCAATGGATATTTATGGTGTAAGTCGATCGACTAATTGAAATGATTTTAAGTGTTTTTATTTAGTTTTTAGACCCAAACGTTGTGATAAAATGCAAATTGCGCATCGATTTTGAGGAACATAAAATTGACTTCCTCATCTTAGCAAAAGGGCCAATTTGTCACTTCAAATATTAATATACATGAAAATGACGTTCTTTGCACGCCCTTGGTTGAGAAATACAAAGGGCCCCACTTTTGCAAGTCAAATTTGGACTTCTATTGCACCGTACTAATCGTTAGAGCCAAACAAACGATAATTAGGTGACGTTGAATTCCCAATCGATTCGCTCCACAAAAAGATTCTTTAGGTCCTCTTATTTTGGCATGTCAATAATTGCTTTTAAGAGGTTGGTAAAGGGGAAATCGACATGTTTGTTGATAAATTTTTTTTTATGATGGACAGTTTAGTTATCTGTAGTCTTAATTTAGATTTAAGTAATTTTAATTCTGATACTCCTCCTTCTTGTTCAATTAATTTTATTCGTGAAGATCGACTTAATATGTCCTGGTTTAAATTTATTATTGAATAAGTTTGGTTGAGCTTTTGATTTTAGCCCCATGTTTCAAAACAAGAAAAAGGAAAGGAAAAAAAAAAACCCTTTTGATTTTTTTTTATTACCAAACACTTTGCTTCCTTTGGTAGTTGAATCCACGCCCTACCTACCTTCATTTTCCTTTAGCAAATGAGCTCAACCTACCCTACATTACAATTTAATTTGTCCCTTTTTTTTAAGAGAAAAGTAGCATATTCTTCAAACAATCTTTTAAAACTAATATGAGACTTAGAACTCCTCTAATTAAGTAAAAAGAGTTCCGCTATGTTAACTAGTTATGTGCGTTATATTTATTTGAGTGCTGCCATAATTTGAATCATTTTTATTAATTATATTGCTGATTACATATTTAATACAAAACAAATTTCGTATATAAATTCCAATGTATGAGAAAGGTGATAAGCAAAGTTGTGAACACATGTAGTATAAGTAACATTGTTCGATTAATTTGGTTGTTATTCATTTATTTAATTTATAAAAGAAAAATGATGCTAGAAAAATTACTTTCTGATTACATTCATATACCATGTAATGTGACAATTAATACACATAACCAACATTCAACTAAATTAACTTATTAATTAATACGACACGTACAACGTGCCTCGACATAACAAATCATTTGTAAGTGTCCATGTGCTTTTCACGGCCGTCCGCGCCTCCAAGCGTCGGGTTCCAAAACTGCCGGCCAACCCTGAATTATCTTCCGTATATGACCCTGCATTCCTGCACAATTACGCCTTTACCCTTTTAAAATTAATTTTGGTGCCAGCAAGGAAAATCAAATAAATTGCCCTATCCCTCTTAATATGGACAAGGATTCCAGTGCCCTTTTGTACTCTTTGTTTGTGTGGTCACTGTTAAGCCATGTTAATAATTTATATTATTATTTATTTTTATCTTATTATTTTTATAAAAAAGCAATATATAATGTTGACATGACTTAACCGTGAATACACAAAACAGAAGAGCACGAGAGAACACCGAAATTGAGAAAGTTGACAAATGACAATCCTTGTCCTGTAATATTATAACCCGCAGTACTTGGTTGAATTCCAGAATAATGAAAAACAGAAAAATCAGAGAAATAAAAAGTCGAAAAAATAGAGAATATTAGGTAATTGAAAGAAAGTGGTTGCTGCTGCTGCTGCTCCCTCAACGCTCATTTGTTTACACATCGCATCGCCGATCCGATCCACGCTCCAATCCGCCAAACAGGTTCGCCCTCCTCCCAAATCCCTACGATTTATTTCCGTATGAATTTTGATCTGATTTTTTTATTTCTATATTTCCAGTAAATCGTTTGTTCTTCCTCCTCATCTTTCTCAGTCCCTTCACTGAAATCGGCGTTCAGTGTGATATTTTGGGAAAGAAACGAAGATGTTGGGGATTTTAAGGCAGAAAGTGGGAGCTGGAAGCTCGTCAGCTATGGTACACCCTAATACTTCTGCAATTTACGATTTGAGTTATGTGAAACAATTGATTAATTTATTTTTTATGTGAGTTATTGGCTAATATTTGTGATGATTCAGATTTTGGGGCAGAGGATCTGCCCCGCCGCTTCGGCATTGAGGGGTTTCGCATCTTCTGCGAAAGAGGTAATGTTGGTTCTGGATTTCCACTTGTTCGTATTGTTCATATGCTTCAAAAAAAACCTGTATTATTAGACTCCCAGTTTTTGGGGATTGGTTTTCTCTACATGTTTGTTGCATTCATGCTATTTTCATATTCGTATCTGTTCTCAGTGGAATATTGTGAATTCCAGAGGCACGTAATATTTTTTGACAATGAAATTATGCCCACAGATGACAGTGAGGGATGCTCTAAACTCTGCGCTCGATGAAGAAATGTCCGCGGACCCAAAAGTGTTTTTGATGGGTGAAGAGGTGAGGATGCATGGGTAGGTTGTATTTTTTGTGATTTGAGAAACCAACAGAATTTATTTCCGTAACATTGATCGTTGCTCTTTCTGTTATGCAGGTTGGGGAATATCAGGGTGCTTACAAGGTTAGAATTATTTACTGAAACTTCAATTTTTTCGTTTTATCAAGAACCCATGTGAACATTGACGTCTTTAACAGTTGCCCTTTGTTCTCCATTGTATATAGATAACAAAAGGACTTCTGGACAAGTATGGTCCTGACAGGGTACTTGATACCCCAATCACAGAGGTTAGTCCTATTACTTGACGTGCCGTGCTGCTTCTCTTTTGTTTACTTCCGCATTTCAGTAACATCATAAACGTTCTTCCCTTTTTTCTCCCTGTCTCCTAAATTTGAGGCTATGTGGGCCAATTCGTTTATATACATTAGTGATAGTAGCTGGCTGACCTTATTTATTTGGAAATTTTTTTGCAGGCTGGGTTTACTGGGATTGGAGTTGGTGCTGCTTACTATGGTTTGAGACCTGTTATAGAGTTCATGACCTTTAACTTCTCAATGCAGGTTTGGAGGATTTTTTTATTTTTTTATTTTTTTTTCTGTTATTGACTTTTATACCGGAGTTTTAATGTTATAACTAATAGTTGATGTCTTGACACTGAATATTCTTTCCGATTCTCTGAAGCTATTGCTATCTAAATGCTAATTGAAAGATTCTTATCATCCTTCTAGATCAGTTGGTCCAATTTATTTTTCATTAAAGGATTCTGTTCTGGTGTTTATTGCAGGCAATTGACCACATCATCAATTCTGCTGCAAAATCAAATTATATGTCTGCTGGCCAAATAAATGTACCCATTGTTTTCAGAGGACCAAATGGTGCGGCTGCTGGTGTTGGTGCCCAGCATTCTCAAGTACTGTTCCCCACGCCCCTTCTTTTAAGTCTCTTTACTACTTTGTTGCATTGCAATCTTTCATATGTTACCTTTTGTTTATTCCTGATCTACCATTTACCCACATCCACAGCATATTTAGCCTTCGTTTCTATGTAAGTAGTGAATGAATTTTTACAATTTTATGATATGCTTGTTGGTCTAGTGTTATGCAGCATGGTATGCAGCCTGCCCTGGGTTGAAAGTTTTGACTCCTTATTCATCTGAAGATGCTCGTGGACTCTTAAAAGCTGCCATTAGGGACCCTGATCCTGTTGTTTTCCTTGAAAATGAGTTGTTGTAAGTAATCCACTGCAAGGATATTGTGATGCTTATGTTTGTTATCAAGTAAAACGTTAATGTCTTGATGTAATTTTCTGTTTCAGATATGGCGAGTCATTTCCTGTTTCAGCTGAAGTTCTTGATTCCAGTTTTTGCCTCCCAATTGGAAAAGCTAAGGTGATCATCAGCTAATGGAATTCTATAGGAAAATGATTGTTAATTCCACTCAGATTTCCAACTTTTTATGTTATCCATCATTGATGATTGCCTTCTAATTATTATATAATATAACACAGATTGAGAGAGAAGGAAAGGATGTCACTATTACAGCTTTTTCGAAAATGGTTGGCTATTCTCTACAGGTTTGTTTACTATACCTCCCTCTGCTGCCAGGATGGATTGACATATGACAAATTCATGCTCATTGATACTTGATACACTGATGGAAAAAAATTGAAATGGTTCTTGCATGGAAACTTGATCATGGCTTTGAGAATAAAGGCTTATCTGCTGCTGTGACTATGTGATGCGAGTCAAAGTAGGGGTGGGTGATTAGGATATACGTATGGTGGGCTTATAATGATAGAAATTTGAAGAAATAGGATATTTAGAGAACAAAGCAGGTTGTGGTTGCTGTAATCTCTAGTCAAACGGGGAAGAGGAGAGGAATTTGGAAGAAGAGAGAAGAAGATAGGTTGTCCAAAGATAAAAATTGGTGTACAAAAACCACTCAAAGGCGTTGCATTTTCCTAAGACCCAATTAACTAGATACTTGATAATACTCTTAATAAACCTTGATTTTGACTCTTTGCAACTATCCATACCTTTTCTCTAGATTCAAAGGGCTTTAGCTTTAGAGTTGGCCCAATGATCTCATGCTTGGGCTTCCATAGAGGAGACTTGTTTTCCAACCAAAGTTGTTGCGACTTTATCAATGTGCAATTGTCCTGGGTCACTGGATTGTTTGAGTTAACTGTGAAAACTTTGTTTTTGTATTGGTCAAGTTGTTGGGTTTGTTACTTATTTTTGGTCATCATTGCATTAGTCTTTTGCCTGCCTATTTCTCATCTTTTTAAATATATTGCCATTAATACATGAATAATGGGGATCTTGATTTGTCCCACACTTTCCTTTTATTTTTACATTTTCTTTGGCACGGACCAAGAAAAAAAAAGTCCTAAGAGGGATGTTTTCTCTAGCCACTTTTGCAAAATTGTTTATAGTCTTTGGATGTCAGTCAGAATCTCTCTCCCTTCATTATAGTAGTGGATTTATTCTGTTATTTGGTATTCAGGCTGCTGAGATACTCGCTAAGGAAGGAATCAGTGCTGAGGTAAATTTGTGTAACAGCACAATCTTGTTAGTACTTTAGTAATAGAGACGGTTTGACCATTTGTGATATTGTAGGTCATAAATTTGCGGTCAATTCGTCCTCTCGATAGGAAAACCATCAATGATTCAGTCAGGAAAACCAACAGACTGGTGACAGTTGAAGAAGGGTTTCCTCAGCATGGTGTTGGCGCTGAAATCTGGTCTGTCTCTTTACTCTTAAATGTTCCCTGCTGAGTGCTTTTCAGACACCACGTATGCTAACATTGTTTACTTCTTAACAGCGCATCTGTTGTTGAGGATAGCTTTGGTTATCTTGATGCACCGGTTGAGAGAATTTCTGGGGCTGATGTTCCCATGCCTTATGCAGCCAATTTGGAGCGATTGGCTGTTCCTCAGGTGAGTTTCCCTTCAGATTTTTATTGTTTGGTCAATAAGTGCCGTGTAGTTGGTCAGTAAAAGTTATTCAGTTGCTGGCTTCTTCCCATTAACTCGGCTATAGGTTGGTATGCCAATAACATCTTGGTTAACTGTTTTTACAGGTCGAAGATATTGTGCGTGCAGCAAAGAGAGCTTGCTACAAATCTTCCTCTTTGGCTGCAAGTGCTTAATTTTTACCACTTCAATGCAGAAATTTCTCCGGATTGAGGTTAGTTATAAGTTATTTTATGTTTCATAGAATGATTTGATGCCACAGGTACTTTATCTGCACTACATATCTTTACCGACGTTCTTCACTTACGTTTTAGGTTATGGTATGATTCATAGAACCTTTTGACTTTTAAGTTTATGCCAGTTTCTTATGTGTGTGAGTTTGTTGTTTATTTTTTCTTTCAGGAGTTGTAGAAATTGTAAATTATTTCTCTCCTCATCGCGTGTTGGGAGGAACTGCTTGTCAAATAACTGGTAGATCATCCCGTGCGGGTAAGAACTGCTTGTCAAATAACTTGGGAGAACATAGACAAGGGCGAGAATTTTTTTGACTTTTGTCGTTTATTATTTTTCGCTGTCCGCATTAAACCTTATGTGTTTTGGAGGCCATTTTCTGGGTTTCATGTACTTGATTTCCAGAAACGTCAATGACCTGCTTCAGTCTTCTCCTTCCTTCCAGTGGTTTTGGTCCCAATTGGTGAATTTCAGTTTAACTATCCGTGATCGATGTACACTGCAGAGGTTTATGATTGTTAGAACCGAAACGAATCATTTGGATAAAAAAATTAGAAAGGAGAAGGAAATATTTGAATTTTGAAGTTAATCGGTCAGTTATTATGATTGATTTTTTTTGTAGAAACACGATGCCAATGGCTATAGAATTAGCAGAAATTCTGTGCAGGACTTCCGTTCCGTAGTCGGACTAGTATAATTAGAGTAAACTAAGATCACACTATTTAAGCAATAACACCTATATTTTAGCTTTTTAACTGATGCATCACTGTAAAAAATAAAGAGGTCTGTTTGTATTTTTTTTTTTATTTGAACAAACGATATTATCTATACTAATGGGGATTAGGTGGGTTTAGTCTCATGATGGGTTAGCAATAATACAGTTTAAATTTATTTTTGGCGAGAATTGAATTTAAAACTTTTCATTTACAAGTGAAGAAGAATATTACTAGACCTTCTATTTGTATGTATTGAATTTGGTCGTTAGATCCAAAAGAAACGCAGTCTAAAGATTCTCTCTATCAATTCCCAAATGCAAGACAATTCTGTTTATTTATTGATTATTAATTAATTAATTAATATAGGTACCGTGTTGGCTACAAATTAACTTACAAAACAATATCCCACTTAATTAAAAAGGGTGGTGGGTGATGTAAGAATTCAAAATGGCGGGCCCCTTAATACTACGATTTAGTGATATTTTTCTTTACTTATAAGTGAGAGGTCTTAGATTCGATTCTCACCAAAAACGAATTTGAACCATATTATTGCCAGTCTATTGTGAAGTTAAGCCAATCCTCTTTTTCTTAATATCGATAATATCGTTTGTTAAAAAAAAAGAAAAAAAAAAAAGGCTGGCTACTGCATGCATTGCTGATATAGATTGTAGTGAGGATTCTCTGCTTGATTATTCTCTGTTTGATTCTTTTAAGGATTCAAATAATCTACTTGATTTTTCTCTTTCGCAAATTATCTATTTGATTGACTTTTCTCTTTCAGAAATTATCTATTTGACTTTTAATAAGACGTGGAAAAATATTTTAACTGTTTCCTATAAAAAATATATAACTGGTAATTCTTTTAGAGAGCGTTTTTAAGTGTTTTTGAAAGAGGCCGACCAACAGTTGAGGCCCAAAATACAAAAACAAAACTACAAAAACCAAAAAAATCTACTGCTACCCCCGCTACTGTAATGTTTCTCGATCCGTCCAATTTCGCGCCCACAACCGAGCAATGCCTCATCAATCGCAACATCTAACCCCGATTTGCTCCTTGAGCATAACCACAAAGTAAGGATAGCCAACAACTAAACAAAGAAGCCATCTATCAAGATGAAGCACGTGTAAACCCACGAGTAACACTGCTAGTACAGGCAAACAACATAAAGAAAGTGGTGGTGTTGGAAACACCCGAGCCAGTGAAATCATTTGATCTAGTGGAAACACCGATGCATGGCTGAAAATCAGAATATGGATGGATAAGGAGAAGGGATACCAGTGGGTAAGAAGAACAGAACAGATTGGGATGTTAAGCAAAGGAAAAAAACAATAGAAGCAAGGAAAAGAGAAGAAAGGGGAAGAAAAGGGGGAACAGGAACAACGACCGATCTCAACCGAAGCTAGGGTCCAATTCCCCGAATTTGCTCAAAATTGAGAACTTCACACAAAAAAGTGAGAAATACTCTCAATAGGGGAGAAAATCTATCATGCGGAGAGATGTTACGTGATTCATAGGTTTGAAAAAGTGAAATTTCTACGTGAAATGTCTTAATTTGCTTTATTAATTTTCTACGATGAATTTCTGTACCTGATAGCATCATTCCCAGCTGCTTTGCGAGACTGCATCTTGCAGATGAATTTCGTCAAGGCTAGTTTTTCGTTCGTCTATAAAGAATGTGATGATTAATTTTCAACTGGACCCATAATTCCTACCAAAACAGTGTGGAAATCATAATAGTTGCGTGAAAATCTGACTACAATGCTCAGCGACAGACCTAGATGATTTTTCGGCGCGGCGGAGATGTAGCCTAGTAAGTACACACCAACCACTAAATTTAATGTGTAATATTAGGGAAACTAATTGTCTAAACTAAATTTTATAAATTATATGACGTGATTATTGATAATTGGATTATTACTTAAGTGTTCATTAACAAGCTTATTTCTTATTAGTGACACATTACATGATTTACAAATTTGGTCTAAAAGGTTAGTCGACCTAACATTACTCTTTTGATAGATTGACAATGATGTGAGAATTTGAGCTAGATCATCAAAATTAGTTAGGTATATCGAACTTGTTACTTATAATGAGAGTCGAACTTGAAACTTGCTGTTTAAAAATAATTTTCACAGACGCGTATATATATGGGTGATTCACAATTCAATTATCTCCCTGTACTACATAGCCAAAAACCCAACAAATAATGATTGATTTTGTTGTTTCGTATGAAGGTGCATGGCATCAACATCATGACTGGAGAATTTTTAGCACGTCGTCAAAACCATGCATGGAACGGTGAGATGGTCCAGAGACTTGAGACCTGCCCCTTAAGAAACGCGCGCACATACATACATACATACATAGACATATATATATATATATATATATATATATATATATATAGACACACAAACACTGAGAGACTTGAGATATATATATATATATATATATATATATATATATATATATATATATAGACACACACACACTGAGAGACTTGAGTCATATATATATATATATATATTTAGACACACACACACTGAAAGACTTGAGACATATATATATATATATATATATATATATATATATATTTAGACACACACACTGAGAGACTTGAGACAGATTTAGATCCTCTCCTGAGCCAATGGAGGGGATTTTCCTGACCAACTATTGTGGATCATTGGATTTTTATCCAACAGTTACAAATAGGAAGTTCCTTTAAAGTTATAATAATTATAACCTTTAGATAAAAATTCAACGACTCACAATAATTGATCCTCTCTATTAGCTCAAGAGAGGATGCAAATCCACTTGTGACCTGCCCCTTAAGAAACGCGCACACATATATATACACACACACCCCGAGAGACTTGAGACCTGCCCCTTAAGAAACGCGCGCACATACATACATACATACATAGACATATATATATATATATATATATATATATATATATATATAGACACACACACACTGAGAGACTTGAGACATATATATATATATATATATATATATATATATAGACACACACACACTGAGAGACTTGAGTCATATATATATATATTTAGACACACACACACTGAAAGACTTGAGACATATATATATATATATATATATATATATATATTTAGACACACACACTGAGAGACTTGAGACAGATTTAGATCCTCTCCTGAGCCAATGGAGGGGATTTTCCTGACCAACTATTGTGGATCATTGGATTTTTATCCAACAGTTACAAATAAGAAGTTCCTTTAAAGTTATAATAATTATAACCTTTAGATAAAAATTCAACGACTCACAATAATTGATCCTCTCTATTAGCTCAAGAGAGGATGCTAATCCACTTGTGACCTGCCCCTTAAGAAACGCGCACACATATATATACACACACACCCCGAGAGACTTGAGACCTGCCCCTTACGAAACGCGCACATACATATATATATAGACAGTTGACCCAAACAAGGTCTTTGTCTGTATTTCCAAATTCGACCACCGATTCCTTTCCATTTGGCTTTTCGTCCTCGAATCGGTAGCGGAGTCACACGGAGTGACCCCCACCACCTTTGACACCGCTATTCGGGTAGCTTTCAAACACGCACAATATTTTACCCTCATCAAGAAAAGATGCTACAAATAAATTCATGTTTTTCTTAGCAACTCCCAAAAAAATATACACACACACACACACACACACTAAGTTTCAATCGAGAAGGTTTTATACTTATGTGAGATAACATTTGTATTCCATTCTAGGGTTTGAGAATTTATGTTAAGTCAAAATGATCATTGCATAATAATTATATTTTTCGAACTCGTTATCAATGTGAGTTGAATCTGAAACTTATCACCTGCAAGCGCAGGAAAATACAATTAAAAAATAATAAGGACACACCCTTCTTCTCTTTCTACACACCCTTGTTTAATCTCGTCTATTGTTTTTGTCTAATTTAATAAATTCATGATCAGAATAAAAAAAAGATACGTGAGAAACTAAAAAAGTAAGAAAATTACGTCACATACCACTATATTATAGTGCTGGTAGCGTAATACAATTACTTATACATTTTTTTTCTTTCATACAATCGATATTAATTTAAAATATTCTGATCAACTTAGTTAAACCTCAATGGCCGTAAAAAGAGTGAGTGTTCAAATACCACGGTGCATTAATAATTGGACGTTGCCGTATCAATTGAAATCGTGTCTCGACGAAAAAACAAGAAGAAAACAAAAGCTACCGCAAATGCTGACGCCCAAGGATTCAATCTGGTCGCCAAAATTCCATGCCGGTTTGATTAATTCTTCTGTAGAAGATGACGAGTCAACGAAAAGGCGGTCAACCTTGCTTAATTTTCGGATTAGCAGTTAATTTACCGCCACCTCTAATTGCTCTCTGCAAATTGACCAACTTGACCAACTTTTTCCTTCTTTCCGTTGGTCTAATTTCATGAATTGACCAATAAAATATTCTAATTTTCACATTTAAATAAATTAATCATAACCCAATTACAATCCTCAAGTGTATTTATGAACTTGCCAGATCAACATTTTAGCCTTCATCTTCTTCTTCTTCTTCTTCCTCCCGTCGGCTGTAGAATTGAATTCGCAGAAAAAGCACTTGCAAGAAAAGCACAGAGCTTTTGGAAAGCTTTGTGGGTGGTTCGGGTGATTTTAATTCCGTGAATTGCCGCAGAGAGGTGAGGAAGGGCAAATGAAAACCTCTCTCAGAAGGCTGCGAGGTTTCGCACTTCACAAGCACGATGCCAAGGACCGGAGAGATCTCCGCCCGCTGCCGCAATTGGACGAGCTCGCCCAGGCTTCTCAGGTACGCCGCCGTCCTCCTCCTCTTTCTTTGCTCGGAGATTTTACGACGACCCAAAACCAAAGCAAGCTTCCGACTTTACGACGATCGACGCGTAAACCCCCCAAATTTCATCGAATTTGGAATTCTATGGTTTGAAAAAAGGGCAGAATTGGTTAATTAGGGTTTGAGAGTTCGTGGTGGATCTGAGGGTTGACGTAATCTGAAATTGGTTGTTGAAAATTGGGTTTTTGATTGCAGGATATGCACGATATGAGGGACTGCTATGACAGCTTACTTTCTGCCGCTGCCGCCACGGCTAATAGCGCTTATGGTATTTCAATATTTTTTTTTTTTTCCTATTCGTTTTGATATATTGTTAGTTATTGTTTAACTTATTTGTATGCCTTGTATTCTTTATGAAAACTGAGTCATTTATTAGTTTTAGCTGATAATTATTGTGTCTACATTCTTCTGATTGAGTTTCTAAATTTCATTCTTATAATGCTAATTTCGAGAATAGTATTCTTATACCTTTCAAATTTGTTTATAGAGTTTTCGGAGTCGCTGCGGGAAATGGGTTCTTGTCTTCTTCAGAAAACTGCACTAAATGATGATGAAGAAAGTGGTAAGATCAAAAGTTTGTTTGGCATTATATAAATTTGAGGAAACGTAACTAACCCTTTTTTACCTGTCAATTCTCTTGCAGGTTCAGTTCTGCTGAAGCTAGGGAAACTGCAATATGAACTCCATAAACTCGTTGATAGCTATGTGAGGCTTTATCGTTCATGTAAATAATTTTAAGAAACCTTTCATTGAGTTTGCTTTACTAATATATTCATTGCTGTGCATGCTGCAGCGCTCTCATATATTCCAGACAATTGCAGTTCCATCAGAATCTCTTCTGAATGAACTTCAAACAGTTGAGGTGTGTTTGCTTGGACTCGGTCATTTGATAAGCTCATAGGAAGTGTTTTGTATGCATTTCTCATGCACAAATTCTGCACAAGTGTTACCAATCTATGTTTTAATTAACAATTTTACGCGGGTTATTGCTTTTGTGTGCACATAGTATCGCTTAATGTTAAAGTGATGTTTGTTCTTTCATGTTGATGCAGGAGATGAAGCAACAATGTGATGAAAAAAGGTATTCCAAACACTATATGTTTCCAAACAATTACATTTGCATATCTGATTTTAGACGAATGTCTTCTCATATGGCTCATGATCTACAGAGATGTATATGATTTTATGATAAAGAGATACAAAGAAAAAGGGAGGTCAAGAGGTGGTGGGAAGAGAGAGAGCTTTTCTATGCAGCAAATACAATTGGCTCGCGATGAATATGATGAGGAGGCTACATTATTTGTTTTCCGGTTGAAATCTCTGAAGCAAGGACAATCTCGTAGTCTTCTCACGCAGGCAGCTCGCCATCATGCTGCTCAGGTTTTTTTTTCTTCCATGTTTTATTGTTATTCTAGGATTCATACAGCCGACCCCACTTAGTGGGAAAAGGCTTTGTTTTTATTGGTTGTTGCATGTTTTATTGTTGCTCATCATCGTTAAACTGTTCATACTACTTTTATTTTCCTCTTGAAACAGTTGTCCTTCTTCAAGAAAGCACTTAGGTCTGTTGAGTCAGTAGAGCCACATGTGAAACTGGTAACTGAGAAGAAGCATATTGATTACGAGTTCCATGGGCTACATGATGAAGGGGATGGTGACAACGATGACGATGAGAATGATGACGATGATAGCATTGATGTGAATGATGATGGAGAATTGAGCTTTGACTTTGGACAACAGGATCAAGATCAAGATGTTTCTACTTCAAGAAACTCAATGGAGGTATTACTCCAGTGGAATTTACTTATGATAAACCGCATTTGCTCCCTTGAAAGGCATTTAAAATAGAATACAAAATAGAGCTGGTAGAACCAGCTGTACATGCTTACAACTCAAAGGCAAGACACAGACATATATCTCTGTCATATTCACCAAAGTGTGCAGAATCTCTTAACCACTAAAACTAATGTGAAACTAAAAGAAGGGAAAATTATATATCTCATGGACTGTTAAAGTGTATTGTGCAAAAAATTGGTCTTATATATTTTGTGCAAAACGGTGATTTCACAGGCAGTTTTACAAAGTATATTCGTGCAAATAATGGTGTATGATCCAGATGAATATGGAAGGAAAGGGTACAAGGAATAACCAGAGTTTGATTTTCTTTTTGGTCTTTTGTCATGATGAATGCTTCTATTGGTGTAAGCTAGAAAGATCTCACTCCCAACCCAATTTGGCAGTTATTATTGTGGACATAGTGACCTTGTTGTCATGTTCTGCTTTCAAGTTTCTTTCTGAAACATTTTGTCATGATTATTATGTTATTTTGACATGAAACTTATCTGTAATGCAGTTGGATCAGGCAGACATTACCTTTCCCAGATTACCGCAGGTGGAAGCTCTCAAGGTAAACATCTGCTCTGTTATCAATTCATCTGTTCACAAATATTGCAGGTTTGTGTAATGCACATTCTGGTCTGCACTTTGTAAGTTGGCCAAATAAAAAATAAAACTGTACTTGGAATCAATCTCTCTGTCGTATCCTTTTGATTGATTGCATGAAGGTAAATGCCTGCAGTGGTATCTTGGTTATACAACTTAAGTCTACAGTAATCTCCTATTGCTAGTTTAGTTGTTGACTGGATTGGTTCTTGCATGTTTTCACGTCTGCCCATCACATGCTGAATGTACAACACAGTCCATCTCCCGTCATGCAGTTGTAGAACCTGTTAACATTTTACTATGCTAAATTCCGATGTGGATGACTTTTTATCTATTTATTTATTAATTTATCTTGAAGATGCATCACGTTTCTAATTTGTTGTAGCTTACATGTCTCGCATCGTTTTGCCTATTTCCAGGACAGACTCCGCAGGAATTCGTTTTCATTTAAGGGTAGAGGAGTCAGCCAATCAGCTCCGCTGTTTCCTGAAACTAATTTAGGTCGAGCCGATAAAATGAGACATAGGCAGACATCATTTTCACGGAAGTTCCACTCATATGTACTACCGACACCAATTGATAAGAGTCCAGTTTCTACTGGATCAGGTATGCCAGTGCCCCACACCGTACAGACAACTTTAAGTGAGCGAACACAGAATTTGTGGCATTCGTCACCCTTGAGACCGGGGAATCAAAAGACGGGAGAGAAGAAAATTGCTGGAACCAATTTTATAGATGTGCAGTCAGTACTCAAAGAGAGCAACAATAATATTGCACCACATCGATTACCCCCTCCTCTCACAGGTCAGGTTTTGTTTTCGGGGCAGGATCCACTGGTTGCTTCTGACTTTAAAAAAATAAAAAGGCAAGCATTCTCAGGTCCATTGACAAGTAAGCGTTGGGCTTCTAAAACTGTCCCCTTGGACCATCACCCAATGTTTTCTGGACCTATTTTGCGCAATCCAGGGTCTCAACCTCTGTCAACTTCACCTAAAGTATCTCCAAATGCTTCGCCTACTTTTATGTCCTCTCCTAAAATAAGTGAACTTCATGAGCTTCCTAGGCCACCTGTAGCCTCCAAGGCTTCAAGACCTGCGGGTCTAGTTGGTCATTCAGCTCCCTTGGTGCCCAGACTTAAAATGCAATCTGCGACAAATAAACCAGTGGTGTCACCGAAAGCAGCTCCTCTGCCCAAACCTCCTCGGGTCCTTGCTCGTAGTTACTCTATACCTACAAGGGATCATACAGCGATGGAGTTCCATGTAACTGAACCACAGGAAGCTTCCCCCATTCCCGAAGTGCCAGACAATTCACCTCCTTTGACGCCAATAACCTTACCTAACACAGCCAAGCCACCGTCACCCAGCTCTGAGATTGTCACACTGGCTGTTCAATTCAGAGGTAATTTGAATGTTCGTATACCCTTTCTTTTTTATATCGTCAAATATGAATGCTGAGGTTGTGTTCTAGTAAGACTGACACCATGACTGAAAAGCAACCTCTGGGGACTAAATGTATATACATATATATCAATTTATCTTGCAACTTGTTCTTCTCTTTACTGTTTTTTGTGGCATCGAATTTACTTCGTTGAATGCAGGCGGAGATTGATTAAGTTCACCGTTGGGCGACATTTGTTTCTAAGTAGGCAACAAACTGTTTTCTAAGTAGGCAACAAACTGTTGTGGGGAGGTTCAAAAGATTGCGTTCTCTTCCACATGTAGAGGTGCACAGATGTAAATATATCTCTGTTGATGATTTTCGTTAATTTGTTTATTTGTCAGTTTTAGTAGCTAGTTATTTTGTGTTATTGGGGCACATGGCATAAAATTGTAATACAATTGCCAATCTTGTTCGATCATCCGAGGAATTTTGTAATTCATCCCCAGCAATTAATACTTAATACTCATTTTTTTATGTAATTGTAGATCGAGTGAAACCCTATCTGCTCACTTTTTAGATAATCGTAGATTGAGAATGATCTGTATTTGACCGCAATGGGGGTGACAATTTTAGACACTACTAACACAATTATCAGTAGGAGTGAGAATTCCGAACCTAACTAGCTTGATCAACGCGGTTTTATTTTTAAACGAGTAAAAAATAACTATCAACAAAAGTAATCAGGCTCAAACTGAACCACTTCAACAAGTAAGAATTAGACCCAAACTTAGAGATCAGAGAGTGGAGAATGGAGATTATAGTAGGGGTGAGAATTTCAAACATGACTAACTTGATTAACATGGTTTCATTTTTCAACGAGTGAAAAATAGCCATAAACAAAAGTCATCAGGCTCAAATCGAACTGCTTCTACAAGTAAAAATTAAACCCAAACTTGGATATCGGAGAGTGGAGAATGGAGAATATCGTAGGGGTGAGAATTCCGAATATGACTAACTTGATTAAAACGGTTTCATTTTTCTACGAGTAAAAATAGTCATCAACAAAAGTACTCAGACTCAAATCGAACCACTTCAACAAGTAAGAATTGAACCCAAACTTGGAGATTGGAGAGTGGAGAACGGAGAATATTGGTGCTTAATTAGTGTGAAGACTCTCTTGATGTAGTAATTAAGTTGTAGTAATGACATTGATTAGTGGAACACAAAAATCCTTTCCATAGAAAAATGGATTTATCTAAATACAAGTGGAGATTTCCTAATTGGTAAATGGCAAGCTTTTGTTGCCTTTTGGGTAGTAGTAGACTGGTTGTACTAGTAGTTCACATCATTTGCAGCTTCCTCTGGTACTATCATATCTCACAAATCCCATCAGTTCTGGTCCTTCCAATCTTGGGTTATTCTTGAAACTGCATCCAAACAAACAATGAAGACACAAACCCCACTAACCTCCAAAGTCCAAACAAACAAAGAAAAACAGAGTTTTTAACTTTAATTAATCATGTTTATGTGTTAATTAATCACCTTTCTTCAGATAACTGGGAGAAGGAGCCTGAGGTTGGGAAAGTACCACACAAATCGTTGTTGGATACATCACTGCACAAGTCATTTAATTTAACGTAACCCTAATGAGGTTAGAGGGAGAAGAGAAGGAAAGTAGTCAAGGGGTAATGTGGCGATTGTATAGACAGATGACTCACAGTATCTTGAGGCTTTGAAGTTTGGTAAGCTCTCTAGGTATTCTTCCAGTCAGTCTGTTACCATTCAGTCTCCTGCATTGAACTTACTGACATGAGCTACTAAGTAAAGGTGTATCTTTCGATACGGGCAGTTGTCCACCTAAGAGTGGATATTCCAGCCGTTGATCAACAATTGGAATAACCTAAACGCACACTCACGCATGGGCAACTGACCAGGGCATTGCCTCGGTGAATTATTGCTTACAAGAATTTGAGATTGGAGAGGTTGGAGAGGGAGGGTGGGATGGTCCCAGAGAAGTTATTGTGGTAGAGATCCAAGCTCACAAGGCTCTTCAATCCTCCAAGCTGTTTTGGTAGAGATCCCATCAAGTTGTTCATGTAAAATTCCCTATAATATTAATACATACATCAGAGACACACCAACCAATACTTTCTATCAGTCACAAAAACTAGATGCATGATGATGGTCCACGATCCGACGGTGGTGGACTGTCTGTATGGCTGGTGGGGTTGGTGACATTGATCAGTAACCTCATATCAAGTTTTTTATTTGAGCGAGTCCAGCTAGCATTCATCTTTTTATTAATCAATCCAACCTTCACCAGGTCCACACTCCCGAGTCCATACAGACTCAGTCACTTCCAAAGAAACAAGAAATTTAAGAAAAGCAATTTCCGAATAAAATTGTGAGACTCACAGATACTGAAGGCGCTCGAGCTTCCCCAAGTCGGGTACGAGACTGCCCGACAGGTTCGCATTTCCAAGATCTCTGCAACACATTATTTTATACTAATTCATTTATATAGTAATTACATGATTAAAGTACTAACAAAAGTTTCAACAACCAAGCAAAAATTTCAAGTAACCAAGAAATTAAGCTTAACAAGTTCATGCTAATTTGAATACAAACCAACATAATAATAATTATTATTTTAAATAGTAAAGGAAAAAGCAAAGAATGCAAAACAAGAAGAAATCTTTAGAGAATCTAACAAGCAGATACAAGAAAAAGTACACAACATATCTTAGCAAAAAAAATAATTAATTAAAAAATTTGAACCAAATGTTACAAATAAATGAAAAAAATAAAAGTAATTGAGTAGATTACAGTCGAGTAACCCGATTGTCGCCGTCGCAGGTGACATGAAACCAAGTGCAGGGATCAACCAAGGTCGGATCCCAGCTCTGCAGAACACTATTCGGATCCTTCACTGCTTGTCTCAAAGCAAACAAAGCATCTCCTGATCATTCCATTACAAAGGTATTAACACATTAATTAGTAGTTAACATAATATATATATGTATATATATACTGAATATATAGTCTAAAAACATGTGTTTAAGAAAGTTATTAACTTAAACTTAAACAGTTAAATTTGTTTTGCATGTTTACCTTCTAGGTTTGCAGTTGTGGGTGACAGTAGAACAAGGGCAACAGTAACAAGATGAAACAGCAAAACCCAGATCGCCATTTGCAACAGAGAAGCTTATTATTTGAGAGTTGGGGTTGAAACTTAAAAGCTGAGCTTAGTGGACCTAAAAAGATTCAGAGAGAGAGAGAGAGAGAGAGACTTCTGATGTATGAGAGAGTGAGTTTTTACTTCTTTCTCCAAAGCAAAGAAGCAAGGAATCAAAATTTGGTGGGGGAATTTATAGAGCCCATAAAAAGATTGTTGCCCTTCTCCTTGTGCAGGAAAACGGTAATTACCAAAGCTAAATGGCGTGGGACTGTGTTTGGGTTTCCCTTTTTTATTCTGTAATGCTTTATATTCTTGCTCGTATTGTCCATTACCTCTATCTTAATATCTTTTTCTCAATAAGACAAATCTACCCATCTCATTTTTCCTTTTTTGTTTTATTTTGGAGCTAATCTTCTGTCCTATCCCATTTGCCACAATTTGCAATCGAAATTGATCACTTATTTCTAATTTTCTATAATCAAGTGTTGTATGTCGCATAATTTCTAAGTGTCTTTCCAAACTAAAAAGTGATATATGCAATTTCGAAAATATTGCTTATACTAAAGATGACAAAAGACTATTGATCTAGTGATAGTTGCATTCAAATGTAAGGTATGATGAGTTAGATACCTTTTTTATGGACGGCCCATTGTGGTGGCACAACCAAAAACGTATATAGTATAATACTATGTTATAAATTTATGTTTGTCACATACAAAATTCTATGAAAAATGATTTTTAAAGATTTTTTTTCCTATACACTTTCTTTATTTCTAACTTTTGAATTGAATAAATGAAAGTAGTAAAAGTGGCATAAGAAAAAAGGTGTCCCGATATGATTTTGTTCCATTCTTTTGTTATTTTTTTTATGTATGAAACCTGACGATAAAAATGGACAAATATTAGGGTAGAGGTTTGCGTGCATGGCAGCTTTGAAAAGAGAGATGGTGGGAGGATCCAGACATATCTTTTGAACCTCTGTCGGAGCCAAACGAAAGGGCTTAACACTTGTAGGACGGACTAAAACAACAAAATTGCAGGGACGTCCCCATAAAGTTACAAACACTGTTTACAGTAGTGCAGTGCATAATTGTATTGAAGGATATGTTGCATCAATATCAATAAGAATCTAAGATTACTAATGCCGCACCAGGAGACTTGTTACAAACTGATACTTAATCCATTTCTAATTTTCTATACAACTTTAATTATTATTTTTTGTTGTTTAAACAAGTATTAATCTTGTAATTTGAATTTTGATTTGATTTTTGTTTTATTCCCCGAGGTTAAAGCATAGATAGGGACAATTATAAACAGCATATGTATAAGCATTGGGAATAATGCAACTTGGAAAGCTGTGGTGGTCGGGAATACCTCTATACAGAGACTATATATATATTGCAAATTTGGATAAATATAAAAACATATAATATTTATACTTAGATTCGGCATTGAGAGGCCTGCTTTTAAAGGAACTGAGTTCCATTAGCTTTACCAAAGTCAACCAAATTGCACCAAGACCTCGATCCATCTTCGACTCCAGTAGAAGCTGTTTCGATTCTCAAGTATGCAAAAGGTGTTAGAATAATGTGACTGTAAACAACTTAAAAGAAAGAGGAATCATGAAAATTGATTTGTGAGTTGGGATTCTTATATATATTCTATTAAATGAAATGAAAGGAGAAGACTATATTGACAAGACATCAACATAATTTCTTTTAATTAAAAACGATAACTCTAATCTAAATTACACTTAAGAAAGAAAAACAAATCCAACAAAGGTGCACTGAAACAACTGGAACAATCGGCCACATGCAACACATCAACATAATGAAACACTACATCTTGCAAATGTCCACATAACACAAAAAACATTGCTTTATACAAAACGGTAGATCCTATAGAAGCCCTAGTTAGTGACCGGAAAAAAAGAGAAACGCTAATTGAAACAATGGTTATACACATAGATCGACCCTAGAAAAACCCTACTTGCTAACTATTCTAACAATGACAATATTGATGATTGAGTTTTGAGCCAATATCCACTGTTAGAGAAAGACCCCATATATACATGGATTAGTTTTCGATTCATTTATGTGATCACAGATTCACAGTGGGCAGTAATTTGTTTTGGAGTTAGTAATTATATATGGACCATCAGGTCCACCATATACGACTAAGAATTATTAGAAAGGTGTGGTGATTGCAGTAGGCATGCATGCATGTGAGACTAGTCTTTTAATGGATTGGCTAGTGTAATATTATAAATAGGGGTCCATCTTCTAGTCTAAATTTAGTAGTCTTATCCTAGAAATTTTTAGTATATGATTTGGAGTATACATAGTACATATATATCGAAATTGAAACGTTGATTTTTTTTTATTTATTTTTATCAAATATTCAATAATCGAAAATTCAACAACTTAAGATTCCTATGGATACTATACATAGATTCTGAGCATACTATAATTTTCGTTCTTATTCTATCTATCTTCATGAGTCCATGACATCTCATTTGGTTGATCCACAACATGTGCATGTGTGTTTTGTAGGGTTCCATTCATTACATACAATATAGAATATATAGGGAGTGGGGCAAGGCAAATACCTTATTGTATAATAGACATTAGACATGATTCATGCATGGTCACCTCATTCTCCTTGAAAGAAGTGACTTGACCAACCCAAAAGCACTTAAAATCGCAAATCTTCTCCCACTTTTTTATCACTTCCATCATAGAATTGGAAAAAGGTGGAACAAAGTAACAGAAAAAGCCATCCAATTAATCTTCTTCAAACAGAAAAAGCTTTCTATGTGCATAAGATCACCACCACATAAGTTTTAAGCCTCGTTTGAAAGTTGTTTTAAAATGACTGAATTTTTGATGAAAATATTTTTAAAACCAATCATTAGTAAAAATCCAACTGGATTCTGGAAAAAAAAACTTTAAGTGCTTCTTGCAAGCACATATATGGTGCTTCTTTCAAGAAGCACTTTGGAGCCCAAAATCAATTTCATCAAACACACTTTTAATCATTTTAGAAGTATTTCCAAACGAGCCCTTAAATTGTCACAAAGCTTCCTCCCATTGCTCTAAGAGACTGAACAGGTTACCATTGAGCCGGTCATCTTAAGCTTGACTCAATTAGGGTAGAATTTGATATTGGATATTGGATTAAACTTGACAAATTTTAGAGACCAGTTGTGATAAAAACCCTAAAAATGAATTACATTTATATATGTGAAACTCACTTGTATAAAATGTAATCAATAGTAGATATGATTCAAATAATAATACTCACTCAAATAAGTCTGCTATTTATCAACTCGATTCAAAAGTAAAGATACATGTTTGGTAGTAGGGATTTGATTTTCGAGGCAAACAGCTTCCCGCTAGTAAATATGATTCAAATAATAATTCTCACTCAAAACATAGTAATGCATTATTTGACTGAGTGACATGCTAATGAAAAAGGCAAACAGCTTCCCGCTGCTTTTGACCTTCCCTACTCAAGTTTGATTTCTATACTTTATGACGCTTGATCTCTCCTCTGTCACTCACCTGGTATAGTGCCACTGAAAAATTAAACCACTTACTCTCGCTAGCAACACTGCATAGGGATTCCAAGTGACTCCAAAACAGATCTTGGACTCATTTAAGATCTTGGAGTCAAGTATGTGAAGGATTAGTTATGCTATGCCTATTCATTTCAGATCTTGGAGTCAAGTATTTGGAAAACAACAAAGCAAATTGTTTTATTATTCGGTAACTTCTTTTCTTATTAAAGAAAATTGAGCATTGTTTCAAGATTTTTGTCCAATTGGAGATTTAGTCGTGAACTAATAATCTGTAAGTATTGATCTCTAAATTTGTCACAATATGGAGCAATATGGTCATTTTGTGGAGCATCATTAAAACTTCTATCCAAAATAAAAGATTTAAAAAGACAAAATCATTACTCACAAATTTTTTGTTCAAGGATACTGAACTTCCGAGCAATGCAATTAGCGAGTTTAATTAAAGGGCAATTGATTAAAATAATGAAAACTAAAACTTGTTTGCTAAATTATCAAATTAAAAAAAATCATGGATCTATAAGGGTGATATGATGGGTCTATGAAAGTTAATATGATAGGTTAATTTACAAGGGTGTCTAATCAGTTTAACAATGGTTTTTTTATTTTTTATTTTATCATTTTAGACAATTGCCCTTAATTAAATGGGGATGCATTACAACTGAGTATTACACAAGCAACAGGAGGAGAAAATATTGCCTTAAAAGTTTGAAATCAACAAAAACAATATATAGGCTTTATTGATTATCGATGAAGCTTTACATATACAACATCTGTTTAGGTTTATTGGGCTGTAGGAATTAGGAATCACAATTCTTATTTAGTAAACAACATATAGGCACTCCATAGATATATTATGTAGGGATTCTGTATTCATTTCCCCATCTTCACTTACTTCCGAGCTTGTGGATCTTGTATTATTGTGGTAACTGCAAATTGTATATAGCAAACACCAAAAATATAAAAGAAAAAAAAAAGATTAAGCAGCGGATTACTGAATTTTCAAATAGAATTTAATTAAGAATCAATTTTAAACAAGGATGATAGACTCCTTTCCTAAGTTCTAAGTTCAAACCTCACAGTAAATTGGTAAAAATAAAATAATAATTTGCTTGATTACCTGTTGAATTGGTACGGTGTACAGTCCCTTGCAGTAGATTGTCTGATACATCGCTGCAAATAAATCATAATATCCCAATCATTAGATCAACAAGGAAGCATACACCTTTTTAAGGCTTTAAAATGGAGTCAAGGACCAAGTGAACTCACAAAAGATTCAAGTTGCCAAATCGAACGAGATAAAGGAGCTCAGCAGGTATAGTGCCAGTGAGCAAGTTACTGTTTAATTCCCTAACAAAAGAAATTAAGCATGGACGACCGTGTAAGAAAACAAATTATTAACTGATACAAATGCTTATGATCACTAAGCTGTACTTAATGACAACATGAGATGAACATTATAAACTTACAAGATCTGTAACGATTTCAATTTTCCAAGACTACGAGGAATAGGTCCAGTCAGACTATTGCTAAAGACCCTCCTGCCAGTAGGATTAATATACAGCCCATGTATCAGAAAAACCAACAGAACCAGAATTGTTGTTAACAGGTTTAGAACCACATAAGTTACATAGAAAAAGCTCATCTTTGAAAAATTAAAATTTCTTGATGGTTCAAACAGCTCAAAGAACATTGTTTTATAAAGGGACTATGTACTTACATAAACCTCAAGGAACGGAGGTGTCCCAAGGATGTCGGAATTGTCCCTGTGAGATTATTCCGGTAAAGGTCCAAGCTGACGAGTTTTGTCAAGTTACCGATTTCCTTTGGTATAGATCCAAAGAGGTTATTGGAAAATACCTCCCTGCAGTGCAAATAATTAATTAAAACAGACATATTTACCTAGTTATTTCATTGTACTCAAACTACTCCAACTTGTAGTTCGAGAGATGGGAAAGATGATCTTACAAGTACTGAAGGTTGGCCAAGATTCCCAGCTCAGGGACAATAAGTCCTGACAGGTTAGCATCACCGAGGTCCCTTCATATATACACATACGCAGAAAGATAAGTCCAATTTAAATACTAAACTTCCCGGGGTAATTAGTGGAAGTAATTTGCAGCAATAGATAGTAAGGAGTTGAGTCAATGTTAATAAAAAGACCACTTACACCCTTGTAACACTGTTTTCAGAATTGCAAGTAACGTGGAGCCAGGTGCATGGATTTACTAACGTTGGATCCCAGCTCTGGAGGACGTTGTTTGGGTCGACCAAGCTGGATTTCCAGACACTCAGAGCATCTCCTGTTCATGAAGTAAAGCATTGAAAATAATTAAGCCTTGGCCAACATAAATTTGCTTGAATTTGCCTGAATATAGCAAGTCAATTTCATACCTTCCGAGTTGCATTCCACTGATGCAATAGCTACTGCTGCAAGATAAAAAACAAGCAAAACTCGAGAACCCATCACGCACAAATCAGTAGAGTCTAAACGATAAGGTTAGAGTAGAACTCGAATCTTTGTTTTTTTTTTTTGCAGAGGAACTGAGATTTTATAGAGAAGATAAACCAGCATTGACAGTGATTTTGATATAGATGGAGGAAAAGTTTAGGAAGACGAGGTGTTGTTGGGATTATTAAATTCGTGACTAGAAGAATACTTCAAGAGTGAAGGTTGACCGGAGGAAAAACTCATAATCTTTTGTAAGTTTAGGAGAGAGACTTACATGAAACAGAGATATCAAATTGGTTATGTCCCAAATCTGTTACACTTAATTCGCCTTGTGTTTTAACACTTTTCCACATGGCAATGAGTAATAGGTTTGAGACACTTGACATTTTGAACCGATCATGCATTGTCATTTATTTCAACTGGCTCTCCAGACAACATATCTTCACTTCATGTCCTATACAGAATTTATATCCAAAATAATTTACACGAGTTTTTGACTTGTGACTCGAAAGCCGCAACTCCACTTCTAGATATAAGACCATAAACAATAAAAGAATCAGAGAAATTGTGACTAAAAATTGCGAAGATAAGATCTCCGAGGGGTGTTTACCAGTTCAACGGAAGTTTCTTTTGTCTTAGCAGGATTGTCCTCTCTTTCAATTCATCCAGAATGTTGACTATGTAGAAGGTATTGTTTGTTTACCTGTATAGCAAACAAGGCACTAGAATTCAAATTGAGATTAGTCAATAAATCCTTCACGTAACCATAACGTAAGCGTTTCTGAACTATTGTGTCAAGTGTAGTTAAAAGCGTTATTTGGTTCTCAAAAAAACACTTTTAGTTATTCTAGAACCTATCCTAAACAGGTGTAGACACTACTTAAATGATCTGTAATTTTTTTTATTTGCCGACAGACGAAGGAATTGGTCCGGTCAGTGAAATTTTGAGCAGTACTCAATTTCATGTCAGAAACAGAAATAGAAATAGAGAGAAAGATGAACGCAAATGCATTTTCATGGCCATAAAAGTTTCCAGGGTCAGGGACAGTAATTCCCGATCCATAGTCCAGCTTACCAAGGTCCCTTCATATATAAATCATACGTTAAGATCATAAGACATGCATGTGATGACTCTGTGAGTACTGCAATTTAATTAAGTTTTCCTTCGGAGTTCAACGATTATGCTGGCTGTTCGTTTTAGATCCTGGGGTCAAGTTTTCGGAAACCAACACAACATATAGGTTATATATATACGTCGGTTTCCGAATACAAATTAGGTTATATATATAGGTTAGTATTTCAATGAAAATATAAATATGAGTTAGTATAGGTTATAGAATACTTCTTTTCTATTTAGTAAATATATTTGAACAATTTCCTTTTCTTGACCAAATCTCGCACTTGGTGCCATTTCAAGAAATACACAACAAAATTGCATATAAAGAACACTCACGAGAGACATTGTTCACGTGTACTGTAGCAGAAACATTGTTCACAAGTCCGGTACATCACAAATCGCACAAATGTAGCATAAACAGTATTGTTCAACAAATTAGGGCACGACACGACACGTCACGTCACATAGGTCACCAAGAGCGAACTGCTCTGATTCTAAGTTAAATTGAATACGGAGAATTTTTTATTCATTGTACTACTCTTCTCCAAAGTGGAGTATATATAAGGTTTACATGAGTGCTTTACAAGTAATTACTGGGAACCTAATTACAGTAAGACTAAAACAGGCTAATATATATTAGCGCAACAAACAAATTAATCCTAAATAATAACAACTCGCAACAGTAGTTTGCTCGATTACTTGTTGAATTGGAACGGTCTGCAGTCCCCTGCAACATATTGTCCGATACATTACTGCTGATAAATGATAAATCATGTAATCTTTAATCGTTAGATCAATGAGGAAACAAGCACAATTTTAAGACTTTAAAATGTAGTCAAGGACCAGGTGAACTCACAGATACGAGCCAGACTGAACGAGATTAATGACCTCTACTGGTACAGTGCCAGTAAGCAAGTTACTGTTTAATTCCCTAAAAATGAAATCAAGCATGGACGACTGAGTAAGAAAACATATTATCCGATAAAAATGCTTCTAATCACTCAGCTCTATTTAATTTCACAGGCTTATGGATGAGATGGACATTTTTAAACTTACAGGATCTGTAAAGATGTCAAATTGCCAAGACTAGGAGGAATAGATCCGGTCAGACGATTGCTGTAGAACCTCCTGTCAGTATAAATAACATACAGCCATGCATCAGTAGAACCAACAGTGCCAGAATTGTTGTTAACAGGTTTAGTGATACATAATTTACATAGAAAAAGCTCATTTAAAAATTCAATTCAAATGGCTTGATGGAATTCAAACAACTCAGAGAACATTGTTTATAGAGGGAATATGTACTTACATAAACCTCAAGGAACTAAGCTGTCCCAAAGATGTCGGAATTGTCCCTGTGAGATTATTCTGGTAAAGATCCAAGCTGACGAGTTTTTTCAAGTTACCAATTTCCTCTGGAATAGTTCCAAAGAGGTTATTGCCATATACCTCCCTGCAGTGAAAATATTTAATTAAAACAAACATATTTACCTACTTATTTTATTCTACTAAAAAAACTACTCTAGTTTGTAGTTTGAGAATTGGGGAAGATGGTTTTACAAGTACTCAAGGTTGGCCAAGATTCCCAGCTCAGGGACAAGAATTCCTGACAGGTTATTATCGCCGAGGTCCCTTCATATATACAGATGCATATAGACGAATCTTATTTAGTTACCAAACTTCCAAGCGGGGGCTAATTAGTGGAAGGAATTGGAGCAACAAGTAATGAACTAACTGAGTTTAAACTGCTTACACCCTTATAACGCTGTTTTCGGAATTGCAAGTAACGTGGTACCAGGTGCATGGACTTGGCAACGTTGAATTCCAGCTCTGGAGGGCATTGTTTGGGTCGACCAAGCTATGTTTCCAGACATTCAGAGCATCTCCTGTTCATGAATTAAATCATTGAAAATAATTAAGCCTTAGCCAGCATGAATTTGCTTGAATTTGCCTGAATATAGAAAGTCAATATGCATACTTTCCGAGTTGCAATCCACTGATGCAATTGCTACTACTGCAAGAAACAAACCAAGCAGAACTCGAGAACTCATTACGCACAAATCAGTTGAGTCTAAACGATAAGGTTAGAGTAGAGCCTGAATCATTATTTTTTTGCTGAGGAACTGAGATTTTATACAGAAGATGAACCAGCATTGACATTGATAATATGGTAATGATGAGGGATTATATAACAACACCGGATGTTGATAGGATTATTATATAAATGACCAGCGGGATGCTTCGGGAGTGAAGGTTGACCGGAGGGAAAGTCCACAATCAATCTGAAGTCTAAGGGTAAGGGGAGAGATGTACATGAAACGAGACTTAAAGGTGGAGATATTCAAAATATAACGTCATCACTTATTACTACGGTTTAGTGATATTTTTTTTCGCTTGTAAGTGAAAGGTTTAAGGTTCGATTCTCACAAAGACAATTTTGAACCACATTATTCTGATTGACCCATTGCGAGGCTTAGCCTACTCCCCCACCTCTTCGTATAGATAATATCTTTTGTTCAAAAAATAAAAAAACATGTCACCATATCTTTTAATTTTCCCGATTGGCGACCCACAATAGGTTTTGGACGCCATCACCTCATGCCCCCGTTTCAATTAATTCTTAGAACGAAGAAATGTTAAATAATTCTGAAATAATGCATCGTGAGTTTTCGACTTGTTAGAGTGAAGCCGCCAAACCCCCAGATATAAACCGTAAACCAATAATTTGTTTTTCAACAGAAAGTGTGACCAAAATATGTAAATATGGTAAACATTCCGAATGTGTTTACCAGTTCAATGGAAGTCTCTGTCTTTAGCATGACAACTTGGATTGTCCGCCTTCTCATTCGATTCCTTGTCAAGAATCAAAGTGTTGACCTTGCAGAAAGTTTTGTTTTATTGGATAGCTTTGATTATTTTCCACTTATTGTTTTTGTTTTGGGAGAACAGCGGAGCTGTTCATATGCACGCATGCACGTCCCAGACAGATAGACCAAATAATAATATCTGATTCCATGGAGAGTGCATAAGTATAAATTTGCCTTGCGACGAAAGTAACAAATATTTACAGACATAGAGCTACGAGAAGCCTAACTCGACGCGGATCTAACCATCGGGAGCCTCGGTAGTAGCCTTCACAAATCGACCCTTGACTCGCTTCCTAGTATCAGCTCTTGCCTTCCTCGACTCGTACCTTATGTGCTTATCGTATCTATCCACAAAATGGTACAAGTTTTGTTATACAGTGAAGGTGGGGTGGGGTAAGTAAAAGAAGATAAAAAGGAAACATACCTTCGAGTTTTCTTCTTCTCTTTGTAACGAAGCATGGCGTTGCCTCTATTTTGTGCAAGCAACTCCATGTCCGCTTTTGTTCCTAACGTTCTCATACTGATACCGTCACCCCTCATAAGAAAAGATTGTTCCATAAAATTGATGTCATTAGAGGCACCAGAACCTTTGTCATCGCCAAACACCGACCCTGATGAAGGCTGTCCAATAGGGACGTTGTTGCTTTCGGATGTTGCTGGACCCAGACTGCCTGCTGGGTTATTAGAGGTGATCTGCATTTTTGAGTTAAAAAAATCACAATATTCAACTGCCGCCTCACAGTTCAAGAACCAAAGTTTACATACAAGAAGTTATTCATAAAACTTGTCACAGATGCTTTGATATCCATGTCTCAAATATGCGAGTTCCAATCATCAAAAAACCACTTGCAAAGCACTCAAACAGCGTTTTGTTTACAATCTTGACCATTTTGTTAAGACTCAAACATCTTGTTACATTAAACATCAAACGTTTTGTGCCACAGTAATAGAACGTTGGTTTAGCACTTGCTACATTAATATTTTAAATTTCTAGTTACAATGCATGAAAAGTAAGAGGAATTACCACATATGGAATTTATACATCTCTAAACGGAAAGTGAGGTTCAAAAAATCGCATACGGGGGTTCTAGAGGATGTTGATTTTGTAACATTTTCCAATCACAACCACTACTGTCGAGATTGATTGACATACAAAATACGTGAACATGACAACAGGTTTCATACAAGGACAAAATGGTACTGGTGTATATACAATGCCTCAGAGAACTTAAACAAGAACTGATTTAACAAAAAATGAATACAAAAAGGACTTACATTGAATTTTGTATCATCTTGTCCAACAGGGCAGTTCATCTGGTAGATATCTCTTAACATTTTTGTATCAGTCAAAGATGGTTCTTTCATAAGCTCGCTGAAATCTTTAATCATAAATCCCGAAACGTTTGAACCATATGTGACTTCCAATGGACCTGACTCTTCATGATCCCTCAACCGTCCTAAATTAAAATCCCATATCTGCGAGCCAGTAGCAAGTTAGCATATCAAACCCTTGACACTGGAAAAGAATTCTGCCCTATCAAAGCTTAAAGATAACTTGCAGAGGAAGTAAACAAAAACAAACTGGGAACCAGAGTGGCACAAGCTCACAACTGAAATCCTATCAACGAAAGGAAATACTTTCTTTGCTCTTTGCTCTCATATTCCCACTATACGAAGTTCTCGAGTTAGAAGTAGATAGATGCAGGAATTATAAGGAACACTGTGTGGTCTATAGTAGTGGAACTTGTAAGAATGAGAGTTGTTCAATATAAAAGGAAGAATGTGATAAGCTGGAAGAGAAACGCGTAACACATATTAATACGCAGAGGTGAAATCTCGGTTAAACATTGTTCCCATTGTCATGAAATAAACAATGTTGATTCGTTATCGATGTGTTTTAACCAAGTTCAATTCGGTAATGAAGTAAAATAGACAACAAACCAAAAGCAAATTCAGGACAGCACCTGAGTGTTCTGACCATGGGGGTTGCTATCCCACAACATGTCACCGTCACGATTCTCTTCTGGCATCTTGAGCAGAGTCGAAAAGGGCGTTTGTTGCTGCAACACCGTCTCCAAAGAGGCAGCACGAGCTGCAACCCCACCAACACCTCCTCTCTCATTCCTCACATCAATCGAAGCAAGCCCTTCCACATCCCCATTTCCATTCCCATTCTCCTCCTGCCAACCATTCTTCGTCTGCGTCCCTGGCACTAAATTCTCACTGCCACTACCACCTCCGCCGCGGCCGTCACCGCTGCCATCCAAGTCCCTCTTAAGCAAGTCCAACAGCTGCTTCTGTATCCCCTGCTTCTGCTTCCCGCTTATGCCCCCACTATTCTGCCTCTTCATATCACCAGTCAGGTCAACGACGCCGTTCTGGATGGGCACCATCAAGTCCTGCATCCCAAACCTATTCCAAGACGAATCCATGGACGGCAAACCCATATCCCAGTTCTGGAGCTGCGGGTCGGATCGAGCCAGTAGACTCTTATCCTGGAGATCCAGACCCAAAAGAGACGCGAGCTCGAGCGCCGAGGGGCAGCCGGAGAATCCTTCGAGAGGGGTGCGATCGTGCGCGGCGGTGACAGAGCAGCTGCCGTGGGCGTCCCAATCACACTCCTGGCAGAGAACGAGGTTGTCGGTGGAGCAGCGTACGGAGACGGCCTCGGAAGCGCAATTATCACAGATCTGAGAGCGCACGTGCTTCCGGGAGAGCAAGTTGGCGGAGTGCACGTGCTGGTCGCAGAACAAGCAGAGCTTGGCGGAGTCTGCCCGGCAGTAGAGAACCGCCGGCTGGTCACTGCAGAAATCGCAGGGCACCCCCTCTACACCTCCAGATTTGGGGTTCACCATTTCCAAAATCCCTAATTTCCTACCTACCAGTATCAAACTATTCCAAATTTTGCAGAAAAATTCAAGGTTTCACTTTGAGAGAGATTTTCAAAACCCTTTTAAGAATCTGAAAAAAAATAGTTTGAAGGTTCCGGAGCAGAAAATTATGAGAGCAAGAAATGACAAAAGGAAGAGTGTGTTTTGCGCTTTTCAATTTTGGCTTCTGATCGCGATGCTGATTTTTTTTACCTTTTTATATTATTTTTGTTGCTAAAATGGAAAGGGGTGTAAATGGTAAGCGGAGTGTATGTATGAGTATGAGCAAATCTTTCTTACTATCTTGGGAAGTTGCTGACACGCTCAATTATTATTAAAAGGTCTCGGAGAAAATATCGTAAAGGATGCAGCTTATCCGATTAAACTAGTGATCAGCATCACCATCGTCAACCTTTTTGCTGTGCTGACGTCTGCATTAGCATGTTAATTACTGTTATCTTTCTGTTTTGGTAATTAAGTTTTGCACCATTGTGATTTAGTAAAACAACTAACTTATTTACCCAGAACACTATCGTTGTGCTTCGGATGATAAAATGACATAAGTTTCACACGTCGCATGAATAATTTGGTAAATTATTATTTTAATGTATTTTTTTTAGGTATTTTTTTTTTTAATTTTAAAGAATATCGATGGTGTGAGAAAATTTGCACATAGTCAAAAGACATAAACGATACCGTCATAAAGTAAAAAAACAAAATATATAAAAAGAGGGAGACATAGTCAAATTCAGTGGGCCGAATGGAAGTCTTCCTCCTCACGCTTTCTACTAGGTTAACAGCTTCTGCCTATATGCCCGTCTTTACGTTTAGGTTGGATACATTCCTTTCAAAGTGTGATTTTTTTTCATAAACCTTATCCTCTTGAAAATGAGGATATTTTGTTTATATCTTAGTGTGAGTGAATGAGGAAGTTACTTGCTCGCTTGTTAGCCACTGCTGTTTTAGTTGGACCAACTTCCCTAGGTGGTAGGTAGGTTACTCACTTAACGTTGTTCTCAACTTTGCTTCTTACATGTGACCATAGTTTCTTCTATTTTCTTCGATAGACCAAATAGAGTTAATAAGGCCTCTTAGGGGCCAAAAATCACTGAAAGAAATGTCCAGCTACTCCTTCTAAATACGAGAAAAAGACGGGGAATATAGATTAAAAAGGAAGACAAACATGTAAGCTAGCATGCTTAAGAAATCTGAATGCTGAAAAGAAAGGATCCCTATAGGAGGAGCGGCACGCTAAACAAATGAAGACAAGAGAAGCCCTAAATTAACTAATTTGTCAGTATTCTATTCTCAAAA